ATGAAACTTTGGCGTTCTGAGATCACTCAACAGACCACAGACAATATATGTAATATATTGATGTTCAGAAGGAGAAAGAAAACATAATTATTCACTCTATGTACTGTGTGTTAATTTTACTAAAATATTCCATGCAGTCGACAGCGGGCACGTGTTCCTTGCCGCCAAAATGAAACGTCTTGTTAACCAACAAACAACCCACACTCACCACGGACGTTATCCAATGTATGTGTTTTGTGGTGCGTTCGGTAGCAGCATTAAGGAGCAGATTACAAGTACATCATCGACTATATTTGCCAAACACTAAATATAGCACACGAAGGCTACAAATCAGGCTCAACCGATAAAGGAATCCATTTAAAGAATCGTGTTATTTCCATTACCTTGTAAATCACATCCACCTCCCGACCTAAAACACCAGTTACAGTTACAATATTGCCACGGCAGACAGCGCTTGGAGTGTTATCAATAACGTGCCAGACAACAGCGGTTACTAAGGTTCAATGCTTTGAATACCCAAATACTTAATTAGTGCGTGTACATATAGGCAGGTCAGTAGACTGAGCACTGAACATGCATGATATTGCACGTAAATTGCGATGTCCTATTTTAACATTTGTTTCTATCTCTGCATGGGTGAAATGAATACTTGTCACCACATACTGCCGTATGCAACCAAACACATAGAATATACGGTTGTGTGCGCGCTATAAGACATTTGTATTTAACATTATTTTTTGACGGATACCCACAGATCCATGCATTATTGACGCTATTTGTGGTATTCGTGCTCACTAAACATCGAATTACGCCACTATATGCATTATGTCGCCAATACTAACAAATACTAAAAAAATAAATTTGTGTTTCAAATGATATACGGCTTGTAGCATAAATGCATTATTACACAGAACAATAAAGTCAAACCGCATGTCATGTACAAATACATGCTATTCCTCGTTGTGTACTGGCGTAAAACACGCGCGCGCGTTCACGTACGCGCGTGTGACCGAGTGCAGTACAGGACGTCATTACATTTATCTTCAAATCATCAAACATGTAAAGGGCGGCAGTCGTCGTGCCGCGTCCTGTTCGATATGGGACTCATAGCGACGTATACAACGCGTGTAAAATACATTGTTTATTTACATGAAATTCGAACACGCGCTGCGCGACGACCACTGCGCTTTAACATATGGATCAATCGAAGTACAAATTAACAAGCTGCAAAATATTCGTAGCAAACGTACAATACGAGATCAAATCGTCTGTATTCCATTTGAACCGATGTTGTATGTAACTACTGATGGGGGTTTCGCATCTCCAGGGCATTAGGTATGACGACAAATCGTGTATACACATAATTTAATTTCGTGTTCTACAATACTTGAGAGAGTGCAGCATAGAATCGTGTCTTACTTTTCCTCATTATACCCTACTTTCTAACAGGTGTGCCACTAATCACATTTGCCAACTCTCTGACACTCCAACATTTAATTGCTTTCAAGGAAATACAAACGCTCGTGGGCAAGCGCGGGTCGTTCCAAACAGATTTCAGTGATAACAAGTAATCTGAAATACAGGTGTTAGAGAATACTGACGAAAATAAGAAAGACTTATTTCACGTTCAAATTCATTCTATGCCACTTTGCAGTCAGTCAAACCTGTGTATAGCGACCGCCCAAAAGACATACATTTGACATATTATTTGTCCTGAAAATAATGAGATGGTACTGATTTGTAACAACACCAAAAAAAACAAAACAAAAAAACATTTATTTGAGTTAATCAATATAAAAATCAAATAAGTGTTACGAACGGGCCATTAATTATTATTTTGGCCTCTAAACAAAGACAAATTAGCAAAAATATTGTGGTCACTGTAGGCAGGTGGTCTTCGTTATATAGAGGTGGCCACTGACACAGGTTTGACTGTGACGATAATGTGTGTTTATGCCATCTTAGACGCCACGCAGTGGGACAAGACAAATTTCACTATTCTACATGTTTGTAGCACAGCTTGCCTCCTCGGGTTCACGGTCATTGCGTTGATGGCATTTATGACACTGTCAAATGACCGAAGACTATCGTGGTCATATTTTCAATAACACTAACGGCAGGGTACATACAAGCTATGCAAGGCACATACAGTATGTAGACATTGAAATACCCTTCGTGTGTGTGTTTTTTTTTTGTTCACGTTCTGTCTGAAATATAATTCCCTTTACCATTACTGTGGTATACACGCTTGGATATCAGAGACGAGTTTTCTTATCTGGGATGAGTAATAAAAATCCGGCTTTATGCTTTCAAATAAGACAAGTCACAATAAAATAGACTCAAGCATGCTTTAGCCCGTAGGTATTGATCTGTCCTTGTTTAATGTACTACATGTATTAATTCCAATAATGCCGCCTGGGGGCAGTAGATTACTAATGCATTTAGCGCGATGGCGTGGCCATGATCTTCCGATAAAACAGCGTTCACCCTATTTTGTGAACATTACATCTAGTACATTATACGATTATACGTCGTGAATTATAACTAATGGTTGATGCATGCATCACGTGGGTCCTGTTCGTTGTAGTACTGTCAGGATATACGAAGGTATCTAGTAATTCTCAGCAGTCAGACCCCCCGTCGTTCGACAAGATAAAGGTCAATTGTATATCTCAGCTTATAAGACTTAGAGTATTTAGTTGTACAGCTCACACAATAATCAGCAATGTTGGCTACACAGTATTATTTATAATTTCCCATGGACTGTGGCTACTATCAGAGCAAACTCCTTGAGGGGGTATATGTACCGTTAATTTACATTGTAACGCCGATTTGGCACCTAGTTGAAGAAGTGTCATAGCAAACGAAGAATTAATAATTAACTATACGTCTTTTAAACTTAATCAATTCATTATACTGCTGATATATTAGTGCGGAGAATTCAATAATCGAAGTGTACTATGTCACATCTGACATTTCTCAATGAATTGATTTCATTGTTTTAAAATTTCAAACTCATGAACAAAATGTTTCCAATTCTATAAAGCGAAGGAGGGGTTGTTTGCTGTTAACTTTGTCCTTATGCTGTCAACAGTACGCCAATCTTCAGGAATGAATCATGGCTTCAACGCCGAAGGTTATAATTAAAAAAAATGTATCATTTATATTAAATATTAATATGATATGTAACATCATGTATCAACGTTTCCACAAACAAATGACGTCATCTTGAGAATGCTTACATTGTTCTGCTTTCGGAACTGGTTACCTATTTCGATATTTTGCTGATACAGTGCTAGAATAATATGTTACGAACTTGAAGTTAGGGAGATGGATTTTTTTTAACATTAAATACACGCCTTAATATTATTTATTTTGACAGTACATGGGTTTACATATTTAGCCACCCTCCCATGCCACTAGATGGCCTCTATATGGGCCTCTGTTATAATATCAACCAACATAAATTAATTCTCGATCAGAAATATAAAAGTTTTCAAATTGTGGTTACTAAAACTCCGGGTATAGCGTACGTAAAAGATAATAGAGAGTGCCATACTGTCAGTCAATAAGACTGTCCCCTAAACGGGGGAGGGGGAATTGGGTACATGAATTCACCTAATTTGATTATTCGTCAAATTGCAACGGATCTGAAATCCAATTTTCTACACATCAGCGTAACACGATGTTTGAGGTTGTATGCCACTGAACCGCAAATCAGCTTGTGCAATGTACACGTTTTTAATAGGTATGTCATGCCAAAGATGACGTCATTGTGCTCGTTTTTACAGACATTTGGGCGCCATAATGACTGTCTCGAGAGTACTTTGCAACAGTTTACCGGATCGCTCCAGGTGATGCTTCATGGGCACGTGGCCAATCAACGCGTCATATAACGATTGCGACCTTGTCTTAACTGACTGCTAACACGCCGTCGATTCACTTTTTCTCCCCCACAGGACTCAAACGAGATGCTGAATTGTCCGAGTTAAGGACATTGAGTTACCAACATCGAGTTACGAAAATAACGAGTTGCACGAATGACCACGCCCACATTTTAGAAACCACGCCCACTTTTAAGAAACCACGCCCAAATTGTAACTCGATGTTCAATTAACAGTCAACAGAACCTCGAGTTACGATTAACATAAATTGTTACTGTTGTTTAACGCTTTCTATCATAATAAACTGGTCACCAAATTTAACAACTGTTTCTAGCCTTTACACTCAAGTCTGAATGAGCATAGACAAGCCTCAATAGGTTTCGTTTATATACAGCGCCACCAGTGGCTGTTCCCGACTCCATGCGTCGAGGTCTCGCAAAAGTGGACGTGGTTTTACCGGGGTTTTTAAAATATGGGCGTGGTCATGTTTATAACTCGTTGTTTTCGTAACCCGATGTTCGTAACTTGATGCCCGTAACTCGAACAATTCAGTATCTCGACTCAAACCATATGTAAATATTCATTTCATAATTTACTAGTAGTTTTTGGCTGGAATTCAACTTATCTGTTGTCACTACGTGTTGTAAATGTTTTAATCACTGACATTCCTAATTTGTGTATCAGTTTATTATCTCCTTCTATAAGCTAATTTCGTGTAAACAAATAATTTAATTTACACGCGTTGTAAACGTCGCAGGGGACCCACAAAATACACGACGCGGCGCGACGACTCTGGCGCTTAGATTAATTGTATTGGGTTGGATCAATGCCGAATAAATCCACACAATTCACTGTGTTTGCATACATATAATCATTTCCCTATAGTTGTGTCGTTGATATGTTGACTGGTATACTCATTCGTATGACTTATTTAGAACATTTCCGCCAGCCAAAGTCCATTAATTCGACCGCATATCACCACTATGTTTACATCGAATTCGCGAAACCATGGGATTCGGACGATGCCGTGAGTATGTTGGTCTATCGAAAAAATCAACTCAAATTAACCTATAGAGGGCGCAACAATACAGTAATATTGTCTTTTATATTTTTCAGCGTTGACAGTCCGATATCTTGCGAGACGATTTTTAACGGAGTACGCATCAACATTAGGTAGGTTGTCAGAAATATCATTAATTCCAGGACGTGTGCTTTTTTGAAGGACATTGGCGGCATGAATGAATTAAAGGAGTCTAAACGTTGCGGTGGTTTTGGGCAAGGGAATAGCTTTTTAAATTTAAATTTATTTTATTGTCTTACTTTGAAACTTTTTCAGTGGGCGATCTTACCGATAAATACGCTAGTATTATTTACTTGTCCTGTATTGTAGCGCCTCGGTGTCCACAAACTGGCCGAGTATCGGGTTTAGAAGAACTGATTAATTGGAGAAATTTGATTCAATGAGATATTTATCCTTAAGATCATATATACTAGGAAAATTAATAGAGAATGATATTCATTCAAGTTCTCCACATCAACTGATTTACATATTTCACAGACACGTGACTGTGGTACAGTCTCGCACTGCCCCTTTCTCGTTAAAGTAAGGGAAGGACATCGTAAACTAGATAACGCTTGGATAAATTTACCGTCACATTTACCATCATAAATACGTATTTTTCCAGCTTAGAAGAAAAAACTGCATAAGAGTAATTTTGATCTATCATTTATTATACGATTACTTATATCGAGAAGTCTTGAAGTGAAAGTAGCAAGATACAACAAAAGCCTCAGGCTGCTTGTCGTAATCGTACACTATTCATCAACAGCACAAATTATAGTTCCTGTCACCGTTTCTTTTCCAGAATCTTCATTTGAACGCCAAGTCTGCCTTGATGACTGCCTTGTCAACGTGCTGGTAACGGACACCGCGGGTCAGGTAAGTGTTTGACTTATTCGTGGATTCATATGGTTGCAAAAATCATATTTTTTATGTAACAATCATGAGAAATGTGGCTAATATTTAGTACTATGTTCAAATATTTATATCTTGATGAAAAACCAGTAGATTTATCGTCAAATAAAAATACTGTTTTTGGCAACAAACAGCATTCGATAAAACCACAAGCAGTACGCTCGAGCTTTGAATTTAGTAAATCGCCAGCGCAAGCGTACTATAGTGTATTCATTATTACAACCAACAAATACTGTGATTTTATAAATTATTCCCTATTGTTTTAATAAAGATGTAATACATGTATCAGACAAATTTCACATTGCTTCTTTAATACAATTGGTTGTATTTAGTACTTCACTTTATCTTTCAGGATGATGACGTGAATCATTTCAAAAGGGCCGATGGCGTCCTCGTCGTCTATGACATCACAAACCGCAGTTCATTTCAAAAGGCCAAAGAAATACTCCAAACCATGAAACGTGAGTTGAAAAGTGGAAACCGCCCTTATCCGATAACTTTAGCAGGAAATAAATGCGACCTTGAACATCTGCGAACAATTTCTTGGGACGAGGGGCGCCAACTCTCGCGAGAGTTTGAATGCATCGGTTGCACTTTTATAGAAGTGTCTGCAGCCAATGGAACAACAACAGTTGATGTAGCTTTCCAAGGATTGTTGAGATGGGTATGTATTCATACAACATTCACAAGTATAGAATGTCTTGTTAAATAATTGAAGAATATATAATAAATAGTTATTCAGGAGTGGTATAAAAATACATAACGCAGAGAAACGGATTAGTTAATTCAGAAAAATAATTATCAGGTGAAATAAATCGCACATAAAAATTCACCTCATCAAATCAATTGAACAGCTATGTAAATTTCATATATATATATATATATTATGAGCGACTAATCTGAATAAGTAACATGTATACAATCAATGTAATTTTATTCTAGGACATGATGGCAGATACTATAAAAAGAAAAAGTGTGGCATCATGCACCTCACCCACATATGTAGTACTACAAATGATTTTTCACTAATGCATTTTGGTATCTTGTTTTTTCGTAGATTGTGAAATCTAAGGAGTCGCATGGTAGTAGTCTTGGAAGATTTGAGAAGAAATCCTCGACGGCTTCCGGAATGTCAAGCCCTAAACCAATTCGTGCATTAATGAGAAAACTAGAGAGAACTGCCAGCGCTATTTTTTAAACTAACGCTTGACGTCAGACTAATTGGAGTAGTTTCTAAGAACCCATTGACATAATAATCACATCAGTCACGTGGATGTATAAGAAGCGACATCGACATCATTTGAGGGGCAGTACTTCTGCGAATTCTCAAAATAATTTAAATGTAGAACAATTTGACTTGTTGACAAGTCATACAAATCGCTATATATGTGCAATTATTGATGATATGTGATAGTATACATCCATGAAAACCATACTGTCTTGTAATTACATCATGCCCAGTCTATTATACACCACCATTTACACGTTATTAGTTAGGTAAATTATAGAGTGTATGTTGTTATTTTAACAGATCTGTGATTTGATTGGTGCAGTTCATTTACAATCGAGAGTTTGATTCTCAAAAATAACAAAAAAACTTAATTTATTCTTGGTGCAGAGCTAGTATTTAAAAACCTGAATTGAATGGATCGTCTGTGGTGCGAGACAACCAAGACGAATTAAAACAGTTTGCCGAAGTAAATTGTGAAATGTTTTTATGTCATCATATTCAAATAAAAGCAACCCGCTTTTCACTTCCTATACATGTTGTGGGTCCAATTTATTCATATAGTAGTGGCAGCTACTATTGAAATGATTTCAATAATGATTTTATCTAAATATATATGTGAAACATTCAGTAATATAATATATAGGAACAGTAATTAAAGGGCGGTAGTCGTCGCGCCGCGTCCTGTTCGATATGGGACTCATAGCGACGTATACAACGCGTGTAAAATGCATTGTTTATTTACATGAAATTCGAACACGCGCTGCGCGACGACCACCGCGCTTTAACTAAACATAATAGCTCAATTAATGATCAATAATATTTACATATTAGAGACTACAATGAATACAAATGACCCACACAAAAATTGCACTGTTTCGTGATTTTGCGATTTTCTATGTTCTGTATTACCGCGTAACGAATGTTGCACTTTACTAGTAGACTGGCTACAGTTGAAAGGTGTTTCACCATTTTGCTGAATCTGGTGTACGTGACCTAAAAAGAATTGCGATTGAGGATATTGTTGGTGGTCATATGTTTGAATTTCCTTAACAATCAGTGACAAACAGCAAAGTCATATTATACAACTTAAAATGATTTGAAAGTATAACTGGTATATATAGTAACTACATAAATAATCTACTAGATTCGCAGATCTAGCATTAAAATCGCCACAGATCCAACAATACTAGTTGAGATACATTTGGGAATATTTGGCATACTCCAGTACATTCACCCACATTATATTCGCAGACTTGCTATACAGTTGATTTACTGATTGAGGACGAAAGACAGAGAAACCGCAAAATATCTACATTCACCATGAAATCAGGAACATGCATAACAGGAACATGAAGTTAATACACGGTGTTTCAGAGTTATTGTTTGGTACTGATATATGTCAGTCAACGTGAGAGCCCGATGCTGTCGGACTCAGTACTTGTGGGAGCACTGCATCTTTTCACCTCCTACGAGTTTTTACAACGACATTTTGTTTTTAAAAACTGATAAAAAATCGTAATGACCTGGTTGAACATGACAACCGGGGGTGGCACAAAATATTTAAATTTCCATGACCTTTTTCGAAATATGTTTTAAATATATTTTCGTTTCAAAATTCAATTTTAAAAAATCACCTATTTGTGATATTCTTTTTTGTTTTATAATTCAAATCGTTTTTAAATGACGTCAATAATTTTAAGGCATAAGTGAGTTATATTTAAATTTTGGTATTTATTTGTAGCAATTCATATGCATTTCGATTCAGACTTGAGACTTATAGGTTACACATCTGTAATAATAGTTGTGTTTGTGCACGTGTTAACACTTCCTTTGTGAATTAATTTCTGGGGTAGCAATAATCATTTTTATTAATAGATAGTTTAAATTTTCGAAGAACGATGGATTTGAACATGGTACTTTTCTTGACTCAGTGTTCGCTTGATTTGTGTGAGTCGGTCAATAAAGTGACCAATCGTTTCTATAGTTGACAATTGGGAAAATGGTGGTTCATTTCAGCTAAAATCAAGTAACGTGTGTAACAACAACCATTTTCAGAATAAGGGTATACAAATATAATGGAAAAACAATGTCTTCTATCAAACTGATATTGTAATGTAGTCACCACCAAAGGCTACAACAGAAGGGTAATGTGTAACTTACGAAATGGTTTAAAAGTGTGTCTTAACTCATACCCATACTCACATGCTGTCCCACATTGTGGGGTTTATTCTAGCAATTTACATGCATTTCATTTCAGGTATGAGACCACGAAGTGGTTCATTTATCATGCGCCACCATCGTTAGGTGTTGTTGCATAAGCTCCATACCTGTCGGATGATGGCGCTGTTAAATAAAATGTTTTTCCAGATGTATATATAAAGATGTTTGCTTATAACAAATGAGTTTCCATCAACTTATTTCAATAAAATCATAGCCATATTTTAGTAAATGGATGTTATTTTGGAAATATCATTTTCCCAGTTGGTTTCTATGATCAGTGATCGAGAACTTGAATTATCTGAAATTTGTTGGCTAGTGACATTGTGTCAAACAGATAACACACACCATTTCTGGAAAGACTACTTCATGAATTATCAAGTTCCAGAAATTTGAGTTTTGAAAATTATAATAAATTCTATACTACTTTAACATTCTAATATTTTCTCAAAATACGGTAGTTTAAAGGACGGTAGTCGTCGCGCCACGCATGCGCGAGATATATGGGTCTCTTATAAACAAAGATGGCGACTTTTACTTTTGCGCAGATCAACGAGTACAAACTGAGACGTTACCAAGCTTTAATTAGGTATATTTTTAGGTGATTGAAAGGTGTCGAAGTAGGTAATTAGTGCAAGTCGCGCCCATGTCAAACCTCATACTTGTGATTTCCATTTCCTGGAAGAGCGCATTGGACTGTGGAAAAATCAATGTTTATCAACAAAAATGTCGCACATGCGCAGCGAGACGACCACCGCCCTTCAACTTTCAACATAATCTTGTTTGTCGCCTAATCGAATTCGTATTCGTACTGAATATTTACTGAATAAAAATAGATTTTTTTGCAAGTTTTTAAATTTACCGAAAGTTTACTTCTCACCGTATAATACAAAGCAGGGGAAGAAAATGTACTGCAACTTGTGTGGGTGTTGAGGAAGTACTAGTATAATGAATTCCTGAAGGCAATTTCTGAGCGTAGTTACAATTTCAGAGCATAATTAATTATGAAGTGGAGATGTTCTAAGTGTCGTTTCTTTACCCATACTAAAGCATGATGTCATCAGATTATAGTAGGGCATGCCTACAGTGTGTTCATAGGCTTTGAAAATTGTTTCTGTCCAACTGGCGCGTCAGTTCAAAGGGGCCGCGCGACTGAGAGCGTAAAACAAGGCAGTCAAGAGTGCAGTGGCGGATCCAGCAAAATGTATTGGGAGGGGCCAAGCTACGCTTAAAATTACGGAGCGTAAATCGCAGAGAAACTATGCGTAATCCAGATGATATGAATCTTCATGGGTTTGGGGGGGGGCATGGCCCCCTGCCCCCCTCTGGATCCGCCACTGCAAGAGTGGAAGTGACTTTACAAAAAAAAAAAAAAAAAATCTTTAGTAGTGTCTGTATCCGAAAATATATCTTTGGGTGGGGTGCACAATGAACTCTTTTCGTTTTTAATTATTTTCTTTGTGCTAGGTAGGCTGTTTCGAAACAAGCGTGATACTATACGCTATTATTTCAATTTATTTATTTATTTATTTATTTATTTATTTATTTATTTATTTATTTATTTATTTATTTATTTATTTATTTATTTATTTATTTACCTTTCTAATAATCCAATCATGTCAAATTGTCAAGCAACAATGGTTCCATCAAAATAATGTTTCCAGAAATTACAGTCACGGCATACGTCAGTGAACGTGAATCTTGCAAATGTACACATATATTATACGCCGTCGTACGCACTTGCCCACCTGCGTTGTAACCTTTGAAAAAAAACATTGTCTATACCTTGTCAACAATGTATTTCATCCTGTTTAATTTTAGAAAGTCCATAAATGGCGAAATGACGACGAGTTTCTTAAAAAATGCGGATTTTAGATTAAAATCTTTCAGCAAATCACACGACTCCCATTTCGCGCAAAGATGACGTCAGAGGAGTGCGCGTCATTATGCATATATTCATTTCATTGAACCGAACGCTTACTGAGCTCTCTGCCATCGCGCTGGGAAAGAAGTTGTCTGTGTAAAGTGTGAAACACCTCCTTCGGATAGAATCAACACTAAATTTTAAAGCTGTCGGCGTATTGTGCTGTAGAGGATGGTTTAGTTAGCCACACTGCGAACCAATCCAGCAATTGTTTTAGGGTAAGTGTACATTTCCGATCGCCGATGCAGGTGGTTTGTCTGTGTATTCTGTTCCGTATTGGAGTCGTGTCAGTGTTGTATGGACGTCTAAATTCAGTGGACTGTCGCCAATCTATTGAGTTGATAATTTAACTTATATTAAAATTATTCATGTGTTTAATTTATGAATCTGCCATTGATGTTGAAAAATATGATGAAATTAACGGAAGATCGACTCCGAGTATTGGATTTGACAGTCCGCCATATTTGATTTGAATTAATTATGTTTATGTCAACATTTTGACCGAAATTTTACATTTTGGTCAACATAATATCTCCCAACTATGTAAATATTTACGTTGAGAGATATAGAATTGCGACTGTACCAGTTTTTTAGCGGTCTTGGTTCTTCGGTGATATTAATTAACATTTTCCGAGAAAATACCTCTGCTCATGCATTCAGTCAGCCTCACTGGTGTCCTCGTGATGGAGACGACATAGCATTTTGCGATGGGGCAACAAGGGCATCCCACATATACATGTCCTACAGTTTCCCGGGTCAAAGAGGGACATATATACAATGTGTTCATTAGTAGGTACAGTCAACATCACGTTATCGGTTCTGTCGACATGCATGTGTACGCATCAAATTGTCGCAACGACGTAATGATGGTGCACTGTGAATGGTGAGGCTCCATTTAGGTAAAATGTGGACGAACGTTTAAATGTTTGCATCACTAGTATTTGTGATCGTTGTTATTGTTGTTGTTGCCACGCCTACTACTAGTATTTTGTAACCGAAATAGTCAATAATATTTAGCCAATACGTTAATTTTTTTTTTCTGATAACGTACCATGTACTCTAATGGCTGCCAACATAAAACCTTGAATATGTTCTGTTGTGACATGAACTAACCAACTTGATTGGCCATGACATAGGAGACAAAAATGCTATGAGAGGATGAGCTATTGTTGCAAAAATAAAAGGAAACTCCATCAGAATACATCTGAACTAGCAATATAATGTATTTATTTAAAAAGAAAAGTTTAAAATGCATTGGAGGCCACACAAATTTAACTCCATGTGTTATTATAGACAGCACATTCTCTCTTGTTCCAAATGTGAAAAATATTTACTCAGGAATTTACAACTTTAATGGATTTTCATCTCACTGTCCATGCTTGGCTTTCCACACAATGTAAATAAGTCAGTTTATTTGGTTTTTCAGTCGCATAGCATACCAACAATTTCATTTGTAGTGATGTACCTAGTCCATTAGCTCAGTATAGAGTTATTATTCCTGAACAAAGGCATTCCCTTCATCTTAATAAATATTTATAAATTTCAATGACAGTTGAATAAAACCAGCAAATCACAAATCAACAAGCATAGTATGCAACAACATCATTTGAAAATGTTCTGTTGTTTGATTGGCCAATAGAAACTTTTCGAATCAGTTTGAATTGTAAAATTTTATAAATATGAAAGAAATGAGTAAAATTCAGAGAATTAAAACTACCGGGTAACTTCATTCAGTGAGTGGAGTTGAAGGCTACACACTATAAACAAACTTGAATAATTCTGCATCTCTACAATTGTATTTCATGTTTCATTCATTGTTGCCACTACCACAGCATCAATTATTGATAAGCACACTGGCCTCATTGAAATTGTGTTAACAAATGGCTTATTGATTAGAGTGTAAAAACATAGATTTCACAGGAGATTGTAGTGGTTGGGTTAAATTTTGTGATTTCAGAGAAAGCGTGGTTCTTCCCCATTTATTTTGTGAATTCAACGATTGAGAGGTATAGTAGAATTATAAGATATCAGGGTCTGACCACTTGACCCCACCCTTTCTAAGCTAGGCACATGTTTATTTTATTGCAGGCATATGAAGTATTTTTATATGCCTTAAATCACCAATCCAGTCAATGATTTCTAATCGTATGTCATTTTATTCTTTTTTTTCAAGGGTTTTCTACTAGAAATTATATTTATATTTTGAAGAAAAAAAATGCATCAGTGAAGTCAATTAGAGAGAGTGTTTGGTAACCATCTTATTTTGAATCTATAATCTAGTTCCCATGACAATGGGAAAAGACAAACCTGGAAATGCTCAACAGAAGAAGTTCCTATGCCCAAGACTGATTGATTATTTAGTTATTGTTGGTGCTCGGTACCCAAATCGAAATAACAATGTATCGCAAACACCAGAATTAGTCCGCAGGTATCCCATTGAGGACCATGAAGACTTCCCATTGCCGCCGGATGTTGTGTTCTTCTGTCAACCCGAAGGATGTATCAGTGTTGGCCAGAAACGCATGAGCTTGCGCGAAAACACTTCATTTGTGTTTACATTAACTGAAAAAGACTCTGGCAAACTGCGGTATGGTGTCTGTGTCAATTTTTTCCGACCCTTTGACAAGAAAACATCTGAGTACAGAAGTAAGGAAAAGAAAACAATACACAATGAGAATCAGAAAACGTGTGAACAAAATGCTCTTTCAGTGCCAATCAGTGACCAACAAGATGGTGAAAAATCACCGCGTACCAGGCGGCGGCTTAAAAGGCGAAGCGCATACGAAACAATACATTGACTTCAATTTGCATACTGAGTCATCATCCTTTTTTTACATCATTTCGAGAATGCCTGTTTATACTGAAGAAGATGATTGACGCCTGTAGTGAGCGAACCAGAAAAAAAGTCGGTACGAAAATTAGGTAAGAAAATTGATGTCCTTTATCATAATATATTTTTCTGTCTTTCAGTTTTTGACTCCCGTGTGCGAAGCACAAAAGGGAGTCTTTGCAGTTACCCTGTCTGTATGTCTGTATGTCTGTATGTCTGTATGTCTGTATGTCTGTATGTATGTATGTATATATGTCACTTTTTTTGTTCCACCGTTATCTCAAGAACCACTAATCAAATTTTCGTGAAACTTGGTACATAGATGCTCTGGGATGATGCGCAGAGTTGATTAGGTTTTGGTAAAAATCTATGAATATTAATTACCTAATTTGCATGATAATTAGCTGATTTTTAGCTGTTCCAAGACTGTTCCACTGATATCTGAAGAACCACTCATTGGATTTTGATGAAACTTGGCACATGGATGCTCTGAACTAGTGCACAGATTTGATTAGTTTTGGGTAAAAATCTATGAATATTAATTACCTAATTTGAATGATAATTAACTGATTTCAAGCTGTTCCATGACTGTTCCACTGATATTTGAAGAACCACTCATTGGATTTTGATGAAACTTGGCACATGGATGCTCTGAACCAATACGCAGATATGATTAGTTTTGGGTAAAAATCTATGAATATTAATTACCTAATTTGCATGATAATTAACTGATTTTAAGCTGTTCTATGACTGTTTCACTGATTTTTGAAGAACCACTCATTGGATTTCAATGAAACTTGGCACATGGATGCTCTGAACTAATGCGCAGATTTGATTATTTTGGGTAAAAATCTGTTAATATTATTAATTACCTAATTTACATAATGATTAATCAATTTTCGGCTTTTCCACTGATATCTCAAGTACTAATCATAACATGTCAATAAAACTTGGGACATAGATGTCATATGACACTGGCACAGACCTGATAGTTTTTAGGGTAATATCAGTACATATTAATCACCTAATTTGCATAATTAATTAGTTTTCAGCTTTTGATATTTCAAGTAGTAATGATCATGTTTCAATGAAACTTGGTACATAGTTACTTGAGGACTGTGCAGAGACCTAATTAGTTTTTGGGTAAATATTTGTGCATATTAATCACCTTATTAGCATAATTAGTTAATTTTCAGCTTTTCACCTGATATCTCAAGTACTAATCATCACATTTCATTGAGACTTGTTACATAGATATTCTAGGACTGCAGAGACCTGATTAATTTTGGGATAAATAATTGTGCCTATTAATTACCTAATTTGCATAATTAGTTAATTTTTTGCTGTTCTATGGCTGTTGCACTGATGTCTAAAAGCCACTCATTGGATTTCAATGAAACTTTTAAAGAGTACCCATCACATTTCAATGAACCTAGGACTATACACCATATTAGTTTTTGGTAAATATTTATGCTTCTTAATCACCTAATTAATATAATTAATTAATACTGATATCTCAAGTATTGATCATCACATTTGAATAAAACTTGGTACATAAATGCTCTAGGACAATAGACAGCCTGATTAATTTTGGGTTAAAATCTGTTCATATAATTCTCTAATTAGCATAATAATTAATATTATTTTGGTTCTAATCACATTTCAATGAAACTTGTTACATTGTGCAGACCTTATTAGTTTTACACTTAAATCTGTTCATATTAGTTACCTAATTTGCATAATTAGTTTTCTGCGTTTCCATCAACATCTCAAGTTCAAGTAATTTTGAATTAATTTTGAATGTGTCTCCAATACTCTCAGCACACGGGAGTTCTTTCTAAGCTTTCTTTGATTTATGAATTGCAGCCTGTATTGGTAGGTACATTTGTATAATGATATTGTTTTGTCTGTGGTGAAAATAACATGCATTGGACTCTGTATTGTACAGAGTGATTGTTTTCTATTTTCTCTAATACTATGTACTATCAATGTTCAAGTAGCGGCACATGTACAGACCTGTGTATCTCTACTGATATTCTTATCTTCAGCATTGCTATTCGCAACTTCATTATCTCGGAAACCTTCATGACGAGTGCGTTAGTGTTTCCATGGTGATGATTTGGCACATACCTCAGGCAAATACATAGGGTTTGATGTTTGACTTGTTAAAAGCATGATAAGGGCCCATTATGTTGTCAGTTATTGTTAATTGTAGTGATATGATTTATTCATCATTCTCTGAGTTTAGGTTATATATATTTATAACCCTTGTAATAGTCTGAATATTTTATAGGAAAAAAAAAGTCAAAACTTTAAAATAAACAATGAATACGTTTTTGAATGAATAATAGATTGAGGTTGAATAATATATACATGTATATATATATATTAAAAAAACTGAGAAATTTCTTAAATTAAAATATATATATTACAATTTGACAACCTGTATGTATACTACGTCAATATTTATACTGACATAGTTGATACAAATTAAATTATTTGTACAGACATACTTTCAAAGTTGGTATTTAGTGACCTGATTGTTTTTAGTTAAGCAGAATGGAAAGCTAGTGAGCTCTCGGGTTTAGTTCAAAAGATGTCGGACTGATTTAATTTTTGGCAAGTCTGTTCTCATAGTGCAATTTTAATGTTTGCTGATATCTTAGTATTGAAGTCTATACTATAAAAGAGTTTAGATTTGAGGGAGATAGACAAATTCCAACTACCAGTAATTTCTGTAGAATTTGATACATTTTGTTGCATATATCATCCTGTTAGGTTGAATTTTATTTGATAACTAACTTGTAGTAGGATCATGAATCATGTTGAGGTCAAATGGGTTAACTGTAACTTTGTGTGGATCAGGGATAAGGTTTTTTTTTGTTTTTGTTTTTTTGCCCGTGTTGATTCATTTGTATAATTACTGCTAATCAACAAATACTTTGCGGTAGTAATTATATTAGAATTTGTACTTTCTAGTAATGCTCTTCACACAACAAAGTCTGACTAATGTCATTCAATATATTAATTATCCTCACATCAATAGAATTCATTACTAGATTTCAGTGATGCAAGACGAGACATAATGTACAAGCTTTTTTAGACCTGTCCTCCATTATCTAGCTGTCAAACGAGAAAAGCTCACCATTCTGCCTATTATGGTTTCAGATATTAGCTAGGTCATTCATTGATCTACCTCAGAATCTAATGTATAAGCTTGGGCTTTGAATATTTAACCAAAAAAATAAACAGGGCTGAAAATAATAAAATTTCTTAGAAGCACAGCTTAGTTTCTTTTTTCTCATGGTAATAGATTAAGCTAAAAATTGCACACATAGCAAAATTGATCAGTGTTCAGTTTGTGGTAGAACACGCCCTTAAGCTTTGATGACATGCTAGTATATTTAGAAGTATCTAGTCGTCCTGTTTGGCTATTAATTTGGAGAAATGGCAGCCCTTGAACAAGCATTAGACTACTGTAACTTTTGAAATCGGATAATGTAGATTAAATTCATGAATACTCCTATGCCAGTATAAAATATATACCATGCTGTACATAAATCAGTAGAAATCAAGGAATATAGAATGATTATGTAGCTTTGCAAGATTTTAAAAATTTGTATAATAAATATTAAAAATTTAACTGGTGAATAAAAAAATTTAATTATCAGTGACATCACTGAACTGGAGTGGAGATAATAAGGCTTGGAAAAAATACCCGTCTGATGTGCGCACATTTCCCAGATTAGTGGTCAATATTCTATTTTTATATTTTCTAAATATGTCAAACCAGCTAAACCTTTGCTCTATTTGCATACATGTTTTTTTTTTTTGGGTGGGATTCTCATTTCCATTACATCAGTCTCTGATTGTCGTCACTGGGTGAATCACTCTTGTGCGAGTGGACACTTACATCCCACGCAAAAATATCCAACAACACATAATTAATTTCTTTCTTCCTCGGCCACTTATGTTAAGTTCACAGTGCGTGTTTAGATTTGCCAACTGCTTTGGCATTTTATCTTGGTAATTGGCAGTTTGAGTAAATGGTCTTTTAGCTTGTACAGTTTGTCTGGAAAACTTTATTCTTAGTAGTTAATAGTCTACTTTTATGGCAGTAGTTTCCCCATGGTAACTTGCCACATATAAATTACAAGAATTTGTCAGTTGACATGCTCGTGTAATAGATTCCATACTTTGGTCTGCAGGGCCCACTGTGAATATTTTACATACTAATACCTGGGTGCATCCTCAATTATTTATACAATATTTCACAGAACAGTCTCAGTCCCTAAATAAAGCTATAGGAATGATCATTGAGTGCAACTTTAATGTTATTCTTCATAATTGTATGGTGTATATATAACAGGTGGTTGGTGTATGGACAAAGGTGTGGGTATTTTTAATCTGAAAAAAAAAAATAAAGAGACAAAGGCCATACAAGTACAAATAACCCTTTACTTTGTCCAAAAAATAACCTGCTATTCGTTGATATGACTGCTGCAATCTCTACAAATACCAGGCCACCCAGAAAGATAAACCTAAAAACATCTGGCTTTGGATATCATGATTAGAATCTGCCCTTGACATAGACGCCATGCTTCTGTTTGGGGAATATTTTGAGAAAGAAAAATCATGAAACAAATTTTGCTTGTGATTATTTTGCCACTCTGGGAATATTTTTTATTTATTAGTATCTACATGTATTCCCTATTTTCAAAATGTTTTTTTTTTCAGTGATCAATTCCAATCACTTATCTGTGGTATGCTTGGCTTCAATTCTATAATTCTAATAATTGGTTCTTGTCCATCAAAAAATGCTACATTCTCTGCAGATAGGAATTCTGAGTTTATATAAATTGTGCTTTGCATTCCATTAATGTCCCCTCTTGCAGGCCTCGTAATTGACAATATTTATCATTTGAATATTTCCAATATTCTAGCAATTATTGATGTGATATTATGCTCATTGAATCCATCATTCATATCAAATTAACATGTAGTTAATGTTTATTATATTTTATTCATATAATCTCACACAGGTTTTATTTCTTTTTGACACTTTTTTTTTTTTTTTTTTTTTAAATGTATC